ATGATGTAGAACGGACAATAAAACAATAACAGACACGACACGCTCAGGATGCGTTAGCTGTCAAATACGATGCTTCACTTAATGCAGACCTTGGCCCGTAATCAAATATTTCACGCAATACCGGGTTCGAAAGGGGATGTAGGGGTGTTCTCACTTTCCCAGCAGCTATTGTTTTCCAGGTAGAATCATTATTGGACCAGTACTAATTATTGGACCAGTACTAATTAGGGTAACAATGGTGTTAAAACTATAGTCTTTTTCATATCAATATTAACCACTTTACATAAAGGTTATTTTATTAATAAATTTAGCATGTACATATATATTTTTCATCTCAATATTAAGTACTTTACAGACAAGTTATTTTATTAATAAATTTAGTATTGTACATGTATTTTTATAATCCGATTAAATGTGATATCGAATTTCCGTAATCTTTGTTTTCATCATGTATTCTGTTTAATTCTATGTATTTTCTTTTCTTTGGACGTGAATCGCCTCCATTTCCATATTGTAAAATTTGTATCTCTGCGTAACCCTGTTCTGGCGTAGTTCTATGAATCTAAAAATATTCGGGTGGTTTGACGATACTTTCTTTAACTTTGAATGCCAACCTTCAACATATTTTTGGTTGTTCTTGCACCTTCAGTGTAGAAATGGTTCCATAAACTTATATCTACACCTTCGACCTACTGACATATGAACGAAAAATCAGACAGTGATTTATAGTTCATACATGTCATAGGTTAAATTGAACTGTTCATGCAATAATTAAAACAGAGTATAACTCACTAATCTATAACTAATCCCTAATCCGCTTAATTAGTAGGGTTAATTTGCTGGGAAAGTGAGAACAACCCTTCGAAAGCCGGATCGCCTGGGTAGTAATCAAGCCAGTGCTTTAATTACAGGGGTTGATGATAGAATATATCGTAATAAAAATACAATCAGAATTCTCGTTTGTCTAACTTACTTTCAGATGAATAGAGCATTATGAAAAATAATAATTATGGTCATATTTAGCTTCCGTAATTTTATTTGGCATCCGTAACATTGAACAGGAATGTTATTCCCCAGGTATAAATATTTCTGGTGATAACCGCAGAATGTTTCTCTTCTCATTTTGATTTAATAAAAATCAGAGAATATTTAATTTTGTAATTGGTCCAATATCTAACTTAAAGACGGTCAAAATTGTTTACTGTATGCTCATTTTTAAAGTAAACTTATGTCGACCCTACAAGCATGTGTACCTGTACGTGACTTGCTACCAGAGTAAAATGACAGAATATAAGTTAAAATGAGAATATTCAAAAATTATAAAACTTATTCTGTCCTGATCTCATCTAAATTATTTATAATATAAATCATCCACTAACCTGTAATTACAACACATTCAATCTGTGATGTTGACCCATCTACAAACTTATAATGTGGAGTGGCAAAATAAAATATCCGATATCAATTCAGATTCAGATTACAACTGTGTCATAAAGAATGCGTGCATACATCTCAAATACTATTCACACGATTAAATAATCACTTGAAGAATTTGAACGGATATGTCTTTCTCCCGGGGCGGGCGCAGGTCGATCTGGGTGGCGGGGATGGTGTGACGAATTTGTCAAGGTATTAGTTTATAATAAAATTTTATAACATCTCAAAAGGTACAAACAACATGTCCTTTACTGTATAAAAACGTAGAAGTATATTTGAATTTATCCAGATTCACAGAGGTAGACAATATGATTAAAACGCAGATCCTATTTCGTTTCGTTTTTTATAGTTCAAAATATTATAGTTTTTCTTGTCTTTACTACACTGGAATCTGGAAGAGTTGTTATATAACAGGCGTTCTGGTTGATATGAGGGATTAGCCAATGATGAGTTTTTTGTGTGCTAAGTACGGAACTGTGGGTATCCCGTCGAAACATCAACGCTGATTGGTTAATCAAATATCTGGCGCCATAGCGTCAAAAACCGCTCTTATGACCCCTGACGCGACCCCCACTACAACCGGTCAGATATTCATGTAGTGGAGACCATCGAAGTGGTAAAAAACGAAACGAAATATAGATCTATTTTAACCAGACTGAGAAGTAGTAATAAAAAGATATTTTGCAGGGTTTGTTCGAGGTTATATCTTTGCCAAAAATGATAGGTGTTACCACATATCGGTAAAAAATCAAAACTGGGTCACGGACAATATCGTGTGAACATATCAAACAGAAATAAAAATGTCAAAATTATATATGTCCACTTTGCCATGGTTTTCGTCTCTGAAAAATCAATTAACTTACTGCTGATTGGTCATTGTATAATATAAAATTATATAAAATTTGTAAAGGAGCAATCAACATTTAAACGTAAAAAGTATATTATTTGTATATATCAAGCTTCATAGAGATGGGAATGCAAGGAGTACCTTCTTTTCTTGTATCTTTGTCGGGAATATCGGTAATAGCACGGTTTTGGACACTTGTGACAGAGTGCTTTTAATAACTGGTCAAATGTAGGCTATTTTTAACGAAACAGTGCAACTCGGCAATGGGTTTTTAGGGTAAGAGTACAAAGGTGCATAGGACGTCTATGAAAACCATTTCTTATTGAAGGTTGACATATACAACCCAAGGAAAGCTGTAACTTTCATTTGTTTCTGTTAAAAATCTTATTAGACATCTGGCTGATGTATCATGTATCATATCAGGTTTAACATTTGCTTATCATCAAAGAAAGTTTAAATAAGACATGCCAACAAGGTAAGGTTAACTAATCGTTACATAATCACATAGACCAAGAACTCCAGGGATGTCGATAGCGAACAGGTGTCAAGTTGGCAGGAAGCGTCTATAACATCAGATAATCTGTGATTATGTAACATACCTTCCCTTTTTTTGAATAAAGTTATGAATTATATGAAAAAACTTTTTAAGACCATTACAAAATTAAATATAAATGGAGTCGATGGTAACTACCCTAATTAATATATAAACAAAAATACGAAAAATAACAATACACTGATTAAAAGTTATATAAACAAAAAAAAATGTAAATGGCAAGAGAATAAAACACTGGTTGAAACGTTCATGCATATATGAAGCGTTCATACACGCGAGACATTGAAATCACATAATTATGTTGTAGATAATTTTACTGTTTACACACACGAGTTCTTGGAATCGCATATATAATATATAGCGCAAACTATTCTAATTTGCACACACGCGAATCACTAAAATCACATCTATATAAATTATTCTCATGGTAACACACGCGAATATATAATATAAATTATTGTAATGGTTACACGCGCAATGTAGAAATTATATCCATTTTCTTCTTCCGTAAATCGTCGTTGTGGTCAGATAATCTGTGATTATGTAACAAGGATATGGGCTTATAAAACTTAGCATCTACCCTAAACATTTGGGACTTTTCGGTACTAGTATTTTGGTAAACTTTTAGGATGTCATTAAGTACATCCAACACTACAAAAAACCATAAAAAATCCTGTCCTCGCAATTTTTTTAGGGATTGGCCTTTTTGTAGTGTGTTTGCGTAAAGTGAAATTGAATAAAATAAACCTGATCAGCTAATTAGATAAAATGGGATATATCTGGGATGTGAAGCTTCTCTTTCTAACAATTCCAGCTTGTACACTAGGGGCGTGGTGACCCATGATTTTGCATGAGGAATAAGATCATGTACGGGCCTCCAAAAAACAACATTGATATGTGTTTGTGTGGGAGGGGGGTAGGGGTGCTCCTAGTGCCACAAATAATATCCGACCCACAGTTTATGTTGACACTGATTGGGCATTATAATGCTGAACACCCGCATTGAAAACGTGTCATTTTTGCCATTTGCTAGAGGAGGAGGGGGGGGGCGCAAAAACTCAAGTGGGCACAAAAACTCTAAACCATGACAAAAAGCTTGTCATTGGGTCCCTCTCACTTAGCCACTGGTGTACACGCTTTTTTTGTCCTATCCGAATGACTAGAAACACTTGTACAATCAGTCCTCATGCAATATCCATGACCAATGGCAAAATTACTTAAATGAAATAAAATGAAATGGGGTTGAACGTCCTACTGTTCTGCTCCTATGCTGGGCTAATGAAGACGGGCATACACCATACAGTGTGCTATGAGGGAAATTTTGCCCGGGCAGCAGTACTGTCGCCTACTCCTTTATCGAATTCCAACTGCCAAGGGATCTTTTACGTGCATTCTAATATATACACGGGACATCGGTTTTCCGTTTCATCCGAAGGACTAGACAGCTGTCCTTGTCAGGCCCTCAGGCCTGCATCACTGACAAGGGGGAGCAAAATTACTTAAAGATGCATGATGTAAGTGCTAAATCTTCCTAATGCAGATCTTTTGTTTGGCCTCAAATGTTATATAACATATTATTTAGACATTTATATACGTGCCAGACCCATAATCAACTCTCTAGAACTTCATCCAGATTGTTTTGATTTTCAACCGATTTAAATATAATTGGCAGTTAATGATTTAATTTAAAAATGGATAATCAAGACTTTGTTTATTAACATAACAACAGTAGAAATGGCAATTGAGACTACACCATTCTTTGATAACTTCGCGCAGAATGAAGCTATTACGTGCAAACTAATGACTACACTTGACCTCTTGTTTTTGTCCCATCCAAACGACTAGACAGCTGTCCTTGCCTGATCCCCTGTCCTGCATCACTGACAAGAGGAACCGACGTCGGGAAATCCTGAGGAACTTTAACGACCAACAATGGGAGTCATCCGGGCCAACGGGAGTCCTCCGGGCTAGCGAAACCAGCGTCTTACTCACTTAGCCACCTATAGTTTTGTCACAAAATAACATGGAAATTGTATAATAAAATTTTATTAGATACAATGTAATAATATTATATATAATCAATATACAAATAGTAATATACATAAATGACATACATTATGGTTATAATAAAATAGTAATATACATAATGATATACATTATGGTTAAAATCAAATAGTAATATACATAAACGATATATATTATGGTTAGAATCAATTAGTAATATACACGAAGGATATATATTATGGTTAAAGTACAAATACTAAATATATTGGTGTGAATAACAAATATACATGTATATAAAAAGATATTTCAAAAAATATAAAAGGGTTGATTTTGATTTTGTGCCATTAATTAGGTAAAATTGCATTAAAGATAATTACTGTCCTTCATATTTAATAGAAAAGGAATTTAGTCACAGAACTGAGTTCTTAAAAAAAATAATCAAAAAATCAACTTTTATCCCCCAGTCAATACACAGCCATATTTTCCTGTAGATTTAACAACATTATTCAGAAAATAGAGATTTATACACCAGTGAGAGATGGACACATTTTAATAGAAGTTATTCATTTACTTAAAATAATAAAAATATATATATATATATAAATATATATACATATATATATATAGATACCAATTTTAAAGTAGCTAAGTCTCTAACTCAATATCATCCAAAGTCTTTGACATTGAAAACACAAATTATTTGTCAATTTAAATCAACATTGATTTTGTGATCTTACCGGGAAACGATGGGATTCTGACAGCAATATTTAAAACAAAATAAACATTTTACCATTGGTACACGAATCGTGTACTATGATGCGTTTCAACACCATTTGTAACAAGCGACTCAAAGAAACAAGGCTAGACATATTCCACAAGTCATGTAAAACGGTGACCTCATATTCTTACCTGGAGACGTTGCGCAATAAATACTATCGTTGTAGATTGGAATAACCAGACGCTTGAGATTGCCATTCGATTGAGACTTCTGGCATATTTCGCTGAACATAACTAATTTGAAATTACAGTAAAAACAGAAATGATTGAATGTAAATCAGTTTATATACATTCATATTACATATTATATGCGTTGCGACCCATTTGTGTCAATTTCTATTAAGTACCACAAACACCCAGTTTTTAAAATCAAAATAAACAAGACAAAAACCAACAAATATCCCCCCCACCCTCACTTAAATATTTATAATAACCCAATATTATCCATAATATTCTGACATGAATTCAATAATGTGGGCTTCTGATATCCAATATTAAGTACACATTACTGATAAAAAAATTAGAATAACAGTTTAAGAAATTTAATACAAATCAATTTGCATTCAAGTTATCTGAATAAAGGTTTAGCTGCTTTAAAACAGTAACATTGACCAGTCAATAGCAAATATAACTGGGAGTAAATAGGTAATATGACATATTGACTGACTAATATACAGGTAGTAATTAGATAATATGATATATTCACTGGTCAATATCAGGAGGTAATTAGATAATATGACATATTGAATGGCCAATATAACAGGTAATAATTAGATAATATTTACATTTATACCGATTACAGTACTACACAAAGAACACAATAAGATGGCATTTCATAAAACACCTGTTGGTAAATAACAATAACAACATATACTGCACACAGAACACAATAAGATGGTATTTCATAAAACACCTGTTGGTAAATAACAATAACAACATATACTGCACACAGAACACAATAAGATGGTATTTCATAAAACACCTGTTGGTAAATAACAATAATAACATATAGATATGATACATATTGGTAAATAACAATAATAACATATAGATCTCTAGATTTCATATTAACTGGTGAATAACAATCTAATTAGATAATATTTTATATTTATATATTACACAAAAAAAGAAAGTCAAATTAAAAAACAATTCAAAACATATCCATACATACAATACCAATCTGATTAAGATAGAGATTTTTTAATCTTTCGATGGCCTACACTACATGAAGATCTCACCGGTTGTACTGGAAGGTCGTATCGGGGGGTGTACGAGCACCTTTTGACCCTATGATGTCAGACATTGATTAATCAATCAGCGCTGACGTTTCTAGTGGTTTATCCTCAGTTCCGTACATCAAACACTAAAAGAACTCCCCCGTAAAAGACTGTTTATTGACTAATCCCTCACTTCAACCAAAACACCGGTAATATAACAACTCTTCCAGATCCCATAACAAATTTTTTTTAACTAAATAGGATCTGTGTTTTAATCAGATTAAGAAAATACAGGTTGATCAACATTTTTTTTTTTTTTACCCTTTTAGGTTTTTGCCGGTTTTAAAATTTCCGAGCGGCACTGAAAATCAGAACCAGAAAAATCTTATAATTAATACTTTTGTTAATTAAAACAAATTGCACTAAACGTTACCTAATCTTTCTTTCACATACAACCCTTGATTGGAAAATATGTTTAAGCTACTGGACAAAATATTCTTGTTCTAAACCCTTGATTGAAAACCAAATAACATGCAAAGCTCAGAGAAAGAGGGAAATCGGGTTGACTCAATAACAGACCTTATGATACAGCACGCACATGCTAACCATTCGGCCATCTAACCCGCCATGCAAAGCTCAACTTACAGCCATCTAAATTTGTCCGTTCATGCCAGAAACATAAGACAAAACTGTATTTGATAATTCCAAGCAGTGTCTATCAGGGCTTTTGATTCAGTCATGTCAACCTGTCCTGACTGGCTGGCAGCGAAAAAGTTACTGGCTTGGGAACAGAACTGTCAGTGTATTTACATCTTATAAAATTAAAATTTCAAAGAATTTAAGCTTAAAACACAGCAAATGCTGTTAACTTTCTGTGTAATATGTTAACCTTGTAACTATCGGATTGTTTCTGGGTTTCGACTAGGAAAAGCATATAGTTAAGAATATATCCTGTAACTCTTTAAATTTATGAATAGATCATACAAATGTGTATATATTTGGAAAGATCTTGAATTCCTCTATTCAGTTGTATAAAATAATTACTTTTTTTTTGTCATTTTTACTTAAAGGGTTAAAACATATAGCTATACAGAAATAACATGTTAATAAGACTGACGGACAGGGTGACAGTGTAATACACACCCACAAAGAAATGTGGGCTTATAAAAACTGTGTTAATGTTGTAAATTGTTAAATTATCTGGATATCTGAGGTTAACATATTACATCATCAACCTAGAGAAAAAGTCTGTTTAATTTGGTATTTTCTTGAGAAGAACAATTTTATCATTTATTATTTACTTTCAATGAGGCGGGGGCTGTAGTGCCTCAGTGAGTAAGGCGCTGGCTCACTAAGCAGGAAGTCACGTTTCTCAAAACTGAACGTACAAGCTGCTGTATTGTGGTGAAGATAAACAATGATGTTAAGACTCGTGTGTAATCTGTTTTTGATTGGTTCGTAGAAAAAACCCACATAGCCAATCAAATCATCACGGACAGATAATTTGAATTTGTAAATCCCCCGTGAAATGTAGCCCGCTTTTTCGTCTCATTTGAATGACCAGGCTCACTAATTGCTGTTCCTTGCCATTTGCCAGGCCCAGTCGTCCTGCACCACTGACAAGAGACATCGCTCCGTCCTGCCAATTTGATTAAAATACAGATCTATATTTCATTACGTTTTTTTTATACTTTCGATGGCCTACACTACATGAAGATCTGACAAGTTATAGCGATAGGTCACGTCAGGGGTCAAAAGATCGACTTATGACCCTATGACGTCAGATATTTGATTAACCAATCAGCATTGATGTTACGAGTGGATTACCCACAGTTCCGTGAAAACACGCCTAAAGCTCGCCATAACAGACCGTTTCATTGGCTTATCCCCGACACCATTCAGAACACAAGTTAAATAACAACTCTTCCAGATCCAAGTGTAGTAAAGACAAGTAAAACGAAATTTTGAACTATAAAAACAAAACGAAATAGGATCTGTGTTTTAAACTGATTGGGTCCTGCACCATTGATATGGGAAAACCAGTGAACCTTTCTCGACCAAGACCAGAATGGAATCACCAAGCTACTGGGAAGTGAGCCAGCATCTTATTCACTGAGCCACTTTATAGGAAATAAATGAAATAGATTAGACAATGAATGGATCTAAAACCTTTGATCGTAAAGATGAATAAAGTCCTATATGTTTAAATAAATTGGGTTGAACTAATAGACCAACCAGTCCATGTTTGCGTTTAACATCTTCTAAAACCATATCTTTAGCATAATTATATCTACATCTTACATTCTGCATATATTCCATGACCTTTTGACCTCCATGTTGTGTAAATAATAAGGCTGGTGTGCAACAGGAGGGTGCAGGTGTCACTTGAAATAAACTACTAGAAACGCGTCGAAATTCCATGATGTTCTGACGTCCGATTGCTATGGCAACCAGGCAGGAATAAACTGTAAACAGGAACCACATTTTGTTCATGCTGTATTTTGATTTGATATAAAGGTACGCGTAACTTTGACACATTATGGTTCCAAATAAAACACTGATTGATATTAACTCTAGAATCCTTTCCACTTCCAAACTGTAATATCCCAGTAACCGTGTAGGGTGGTAAAATTTAACATAAGTTACATCACGAACTTTTGACTTACATTCGGAGAACTTATTCTCAATTCTATTATCTATGACATGTTCCAGGACAGAAAATAACCTATCATCTGGGTACGCATCATCCTCAATCAGAAATGTATAATTCGCTTTCCTGTTCATTGTTTCGTTCAAACAAAATAAATAATCCTGTTTTTCTTTCTCCAAAATATGTACATGTTGGGGTATTTTTGCATTGAAACGTTGAAATGTTGGGAGTATTCTTGAAAGTGGGGATATTTCAGTGTATGAATTTGGATCAGGATCTACATTGCACAGAAAAACAGCATAGGTTTTATTTAATGCTGGATCTTTTAGTAAGGATACAATTTTCCCGGCTACTTGCGTTAAATACTTTGGTTCATACAAATCAAATTGGTGTCTGTTTCGGGAAACTGTAATGATCGTGACACCTATGTCAATGTTTTGGTTTTTAAACAGAGAATGACGTGGCCTTCCATCATAAATATTTTTAGAATTAGAAAGATTTAGAATTCGTAGACTTTCATTTAATCTTTTAGAATCAATGATTTTCAAAAGTTTTTTTTCTTTATCTACGTTAATTGGTTTTATATAAAAAATCGAGTCTCGTAATGAAGTGCAAATCATGGGAAGAACAACGGTTGTGATAACACACAGGATAAGAAAATGTTTCAAGCCCTCGTCCAACTTACATAGTTTCAAGCAGGCTCTTAAAAAACCCATGATAACTATGCATGGTTTGCTAGAATTATGAAAACTGTGACTGTTTCTCCATATTTGTGTATCTTAAAAAAAATACAGTTTAAATGCCATGCAGCCAGTTTTACAGAAAATGATAATATGCCCATGTAGGCCTTACAGGTCTAAATATACAAATAAATCATGATGATAAGCTCGTGCAAAATGCAATTTACAATTCATGCTGCCAGATTTAAACAATCTATTTTCAAATCATTAATAATTATATGAAAAGTAAATCTTATTTTCATGCATGATTCTGTAAGTTAATAAAACTAGACCTAAAAGTTAAATAAAAATAATTGAATCGAAAGTTTGAAATTTGCAAGAGCCAAAATTCCAAAATCAACAAATCGTACCCTGGCTTCTGCTCCCTTTACGTGTACAATGGATGTTGAAAATAATTTCCAAAATTTTCCAACAATAGTCAATACATAGATTTTTCTTTTTGTTTCAATTAACATTTTAATAATAAAATAGACGTCTTAAGACCACTAAGAAAATCAAAAAGAATGCATGTCTCAAATCAGAGTTTTGAAGGTCTTGGCCTGGGCTGCATTTTTGAGGATCCCTCCCCGCGTAATTTCAGGTGTTATGACAATTTTGTCACTTAACCTTGCCCTTAATTTGATTTTCGTCAGTAAACAATTTATTCTTTAACCAGGATTTCCGAAATGAAAACCTGAGAGTTATCATTCCCTGATCTCGGTTGACCAGACTCTATTTTTGCTTCGCACGAGCAGTGGGACGTTTGGGAACCACCCAATATGATTTGTCGCCCATGTATAAGGATAACCCGTGCAAGAATATAATGCTATATCTGGACCGTATATACGGTCCAATGCTGGCACAAAAAGTCTCAATTAATATTATAAATGCAGGGCTAAGAGTAAGAATTTATGGAAAGATAACGTCTAGATTTTTTAGATTTCTGGAAGAAATTTTAGAGTTATGACACCGGAAGTAGGTGATCGAAGACAGCCGATTGACGTTAAACGGACGGCCGGCTGGTTGGTTGGGTGGGTGGGTGAACGACAGGATCCTGTTTATTTCGGATAAACTGTTTATTTACAGACAATGTACTGAATAATGTAAGTAAATTCTTCTTTTTCTAGTTGGTGTTTATCGTCTGCTTCTATGTCAGTAATATCGCAGACCACTGGCATTTCTTTTCGTCAGACTAGTCACTAGTCAGAGCAAATATTTTTTTGTTGACAAAATTATTGACAGGTGAAAGTCCACAGTAAATAATCCAACCAAACGATAATACAGGGGAGAGGGTGCCAAGCCCCCTCTAACCCCCCCCCCCCTCACTCACACAAACACCTTTTTTTACTGTTGTCATTTTTGAAACAATTATTAATTATTATTAATTGATGTCTTTGTAGGGGTGGGGTGGGGGTGTTGGATGGCCGAATTGTTTGCACGTTAGCGCTGTATATACGGTCTGGTAATTGAGTCAACTGGCTTCTTTTTGATTCCCCGATTGTACGTGACGAGAAGTAGAGTCGCCTCTCCAACCTGGTGGGTTTTCTCTGCATGGTTTCCTCCCACTGCTAAAGACCCCTATGGCTACGTTCAAGCGAATTATTGAAATAAAATTGAACCATGTGTTACTCCCGAAATGACTCGGTTTGTGTCGAGTGAACGTTAAACCCCATTTCTCTCTCTCATCATTGTTTTGCTCTAACAGTAAAAAATTATTTGTCAATTATGTAAGAAGATCAAAGATACATTCCCGGGGGCAAACTGGGTGCTTTAACGATATATTTGGACTAAAAACATATTCAAACTAATTAATTTATCATAATTTTGCTTCAAATCCGTCACAAAACATTGCAATTGCCAGGGAATACCCTGGCTATAAAAAAATCGATCAAAAGATGTTATGTTTGTGTCACGTGACTTACCTGTCTTGGAGGAGAATTCATTGCATACACAAGTCGATGTTGTCTTTAATCGCCGACTATTTATTACAAATATCGAAGCCTAATTAAATTCTCGGATTTTCCACTGCCCGCGTCTTTTTCCGTGTTTTTATCTCAGAAAGTGTTGTACTTCTAACTCTTCATAAAGTTTATCAACATGTACATCAAGCGCTCAAACTCTGCGTGCAACCTTTGACATCACGCATGCAGACATTCCTAATCGTCAGGCTGTCGATTAGGGAAACCCTTACATTTTTGTCCTGTATACACTCCATGAGTGTTTTTCAGGGAATCAAGTATTTTTCTAGTAAGATTGGATATTTCTACTTTCCATATATACATGTACCAAAATTGCCATACTTTTATTGGAAATAACCACCCGATAAATACTTTTCTGGGAACCTATCTTTAAGAAAATTGCATTATCCTTATTCCGTTTTTTTTTTATCTGTTTTGAAGGTCCTGGTAATATTACACTTTATTGTCGGATTTGGATGATTTTATCATGGACCTTATCTATTTTTAGGTCAATGATTTTATGTATGATTCAGAAAAGACTCAGGATGATCATTTTCAAGATATAAACATACATTATGCAAGAGCTAAATCTGGATATTGCAGGTCTTTCTTTAGGCCTTAAATGTTTTCTAAATTATTAATTTGACTCCAGGTCATAATCAACTCTCGGTGGCATCAGATTTCTCCGATATTAAATTGATTATAACAGTTCAGCCATATTTTGATTTAAGTTAAAAAATGGAGGAGCAAGACTTAGCTTCGAAGAACCAGTACGGTAGTTGAAATTATTGCACACCCCTTGTCAAACCTTCAAAGGCTAATATCTTCGCTCGCAATAGAGTAATTTGAATGAAATTTTCATATTATTCATTTCGCATTATCTATTTTGGAACTATTATAGCAAGAATGACTAACTCTTTATCTAAATCTTACATAATGTATCTTTAACGTAATTTGTTATTTTATTAGAAACTTACTCAATTTACAATATCCTAAATTCTCAATTTGACTTTGTGTCTTTTTTAGGCCTCTTGTAATAATTTGTACAGTTTTCCAAATTATTTGTGGGGGTTTGGGGGTTATAATATTAATTTAAAGATATTTTAAAATATAAGTATTCAACTCAGTATCATCCAAAGTTTTCGACATTGAAAACACAAATTATTTGTCAATTTAAATCAACATTGATGTTGTGATCTTACCGGGAAAAGATGGGCTTCTGATGACAAAATAAACATTTTACCATTGGTACACGAATCGTGTACGATAATGCGTTTCAGCGCCATTTGTAACAAAGGACTTGAAAAACGAGGTTAGACATATCCCACAAGTCGTGTCAAACGGTGACGCAATATTTTATCTGGAGAGCATGCGCAATAAATGCTATCGGTGTACACTGGAATAACCAGACGCTAGGATTGCCATTCGATTGAGACTTCTGGCGTATTTTGTCGAACGAACGTAACTAATTAGAAATTACAGTAAAAACAGAAACGATTGGATGTAAATCAGTTTATATATATTCATAGTACATTATTATATGCATTGGGACCCATTTGAGTCAATTTCTAGGTCCCGAATATTAGCGATTTAAATAGCTTCTTTAAAGTTTGTGTTTTGCATTGCATGTTGCACACTTACACCCACAAAATATTTGGCGGGGGCTTGGATAGCCAAATAGCGTGGCTTAGATTCCCTGGTTGTATGTGACAAGGCATAGGGCCGCCTGTCCAGTCTCGTAGATTGTCTCCATGTCCTCCTGTTTCCTCCCACTGCTAAAGACCCCTACGCGCAAGCAAATTATTGAAATAAAATTGAACCATATGTTAGTCCCAAAATGACCTAGTTTTTACCTAGTGGATGTTAAACCCCATTTCTCTCTCTCTCTCTCCAAACTTCTGATTATTGGTTCGGTTAAATGTTTTTATTTTTTTACTTTCAGGTACTGTTTTAACGGGACAGTTATCATAATTCTAGCAAACAGCACAGAAAAAGGCACTGAATAGTTACCATGGGTTTTTTAAGAGGCTGCTTGAAACTATGTAAGTTGGACGAGGGCTTGAAGCATTTTCTTATCCTGTGTGTCATCACAATCGTTATTCTTCCCATGATTTGTACTTTATTACGAGACTCGATTTTTTATATAAAACCAATTAATGTAGACAAAGAAAAAAAACTTTTGAAAATCATTGATTCTAAAAGATTAAATGAAAGTCTACAAATTCTAAATCTTTCCAACTCTAAAAATTTTTCTGATGAAAGGCCACATCATTCTCTGTTTAAAAACCAAAACATTGACATAGGTGTCACGATCATTACAGTCTCGCGAAACAGACACCAATTTGATTTGTATGAACCAAAGTATTTAACGCAAGTAGCCGGGAAAATTGTATCCTTACTAAAAGATCCAGCATTAAATAAAACCTATGCTGTTTTTCTGTGCAATGTAGATCCTGATCCAAATTCATACACTGAAATATCCCCACTTTCAAAAATACTTCCGACATTTCAACGCTTCACTGCAAAAATACCCCAGCGTTTAAATATATTCGAAAAAGAAAAACAGGATTATTTATTTTGTTTGAACGAAACAATGAACAGGAAAGCGAATTATACATTTCTGATTGAGGATGATGCGTACCCAGATGATACGTTATTTTCTGTTCTGGAACATGTCATAGATAATAGAATTGAGAATAAGTTCTCTGAATTTAAGTCAACAGTTCGTGATGTAACTTATGTTAAATTTTATCACCCTCCACGTTTACTGGGATATTACAGTTTGGAAGTGGAAAGGATTCCAGAGTTAATATCAATCAGTGTTTTATTTGGAACCATAATGTGTCAAAGTTACGCGTACCTTTTTATCAAATCAAAATACAGCATGAACAAAATGTGGTTCCTGTTTACAGTTTATTCCTGTCTGGTTGCCATAGCAATCGGACGTCAGAACATCATGGAATTTCGACGCGTTTCTAGTAGTTTATTTCAAGTGACACCTGCACCCTCCTGTTGCACACCAGCCTTATTATTTACACAACATGGAGGTCAAAAGGTCATGGAATATATGCAGAATGTAAGATGTAGATATAATTATGCTAAAGATATGGTTTTAGAAGATGTTAAACGCAAACATGGACTGGTTGGTCTATTAGTTCAACCCAATTTATTTAAACATATAGGACTTTATTCATCTTTACGATCAAAGGTATTAGATCCATTCATTGTCTAATCTATTTCATTTATTTCCTATAAAGTGGCTCAGTGAATAAGATGCTTGCTCACTATCCAGTAGGTCGGGGATTCCATCCTGGTCTTGGTCCATTCATTGTCTAGTCTATTTCATTTATTTCCTATAAAGTGGCTCAGTGAATAAGATGCTTGCTCACTATCCAGTAGGTCGGGGATTCCATCCTGGTCTTGGTCCATTCATTGTCTAGTCTATTTCAACAGTCACATAAAAAGAAGGGGGGGGGGTAGTCATGGATTACAGGACACTAATCTTTTGATTAGAATGTCTTCCGTCTAGTCCATTTCGTTAGTCAGATAAAAATGATGCCACTCATATTGAGTGTTCTGTGTAATAATAGATATATATATATTAACTGATTTCCCAGGTAAATTGATATTTACTAGTCAATCATACTATCTAATTACCTCCTCCTATATTAATGCCTAGGACACACCTGTTCAATTTTTTGGCGAATCCTTCAGGTGTGATCTTCACCTCAGCTTCGGCCGACACCATATTTATCATTGCCTATATTAGATGGCCAAATGGCATTGGCACAGATATTTTCCTAGTGTGTCGACTGCCTTGCTGGAGTTATTTTGGCCGGACTACAGGGTGTATATCATATTATCTAATTATCCTGATATATTGTTTTTTACTGTCAATATGTCATATCTGATCTTTTAGAGGCATTTAGTAACTGGATAGAGCAATAAACTATAACACATACTTTCAAGCAAATGAAAACGTTGAGAGAATACTCTTCGAAACGTCGCCCAAATAAATCAGTAATTGTTCTTCCATAAGTATGTGTTATAGTTTATGTCATATCTGATATTTTTAGTCACTGGTCAATATGTCATGATATTGTTATTCACTGGTCAATATGTAATTTATAATGGTTTTATAATGTGTCTCCTATATTGAGTATTGTAATAACTACCAGTACTTACATTTACATTTAATCTATATTATAATGAATTGAACATATTAATATATTGAAGAAGTTTAATTGAACATATTAATATATTGAAGTAGTTTAATTTGAGAGAAGTGGGTTATATACAGGTATGGTGATTATATTTATTAAGATTTTGATAGAAGTGGGTTATATTTATTAACATATTGAAGTAGTTTATTGTGAGAGAAGTGGGTTATGTGCAAGGTATACAAGTATTTACATCAGGTTTGGTTGATAATTGTCAGATATACATAAACAATATGTATTCATAATATATCAAAATATAACAAATTTAATACAAAAACAAGTTAAAAACTTATTTATAAATTTGCTTCATAAATGATTTTATTCACTTTTGTTTTATTTCAAGAATCAGTATTTGCAACTGAATATCCCCTACTTTTTTTGAAGAGTATATATCAAAATATAACATAACATTTTTAATACAAAAACAAGCTAAAAGCTTATATATAAATTTGCTTCAGTACTTTTGTCATATTTCAAGAATCTATTTTATTTTACCTACATTGAAATTGAAGTTTTGTTGACTGATTTTAGAAGATTGTGTCTGTCTTTAGATGACTGTGTTTGTCTTCCACTAGAAATTAAAAATATCGAGCGCTTGTTCATTTTCGTACCATTTTGTCTACTTCTGATTGTAGAAATCAGATTTATAAAAAAATTATTTCATACTTGTTTGTTTTGATATTTTCTGATTTTAGAAGTTGTATTTAATCTTCCGCTAGAAACCCCAAATATATACGTGTCCAGGTGATCTTATTTTATACTTGTTTCTTTTCACATTGGATTTTATATTTGTTTGTTTTGATTTTATAAAGTTTACTTGTCTCTGTCCAGCATTGATTTCGTAGTTTATTCCACACTTAGAAGGGGAGACGCGGTGGCTCAGTGAGTAAATTACTCAGGATTTTCCAGCGTTGCTTCCCCTTGTCAGTGATGCAGGATGGAGGGTCTGACATGGAACTGTGTCTAGTCAAAAGAACCGTTGACAGTTGAAATTTGAAATAAGAGTAGGGCTGTAGGAACAATTTCTCGCATTGCACACTGCATGGCATCATCACAGTTACCGTCCATCAGTTAGTCATGATCAGTTATTTATAGTCATATGTTTGTTACATGGTCGAACCCTTCCTCACTAATGCATTCAAGGTAATTAGTGCAGAATTTTGAAAATTATTTTGAATACTTATGTGATAGAAGTAACCAACAAGATACATCTCAAATGTTATACGCCAACATTGAAATGTGGTCTTCTATTGTTGTCAAACAGTTCATTTTGTCCCTCGATCGCATGTGGACCCCTCGTGGGTTTTCTCCGGGTCCTCCAGTTTCCTCCCACTGCTAAAGAACCCTACGAGCAAGCGAATTATTGAAATAAAATTCAATCGTATGTTAGTCCCAAAATGACGTAGTTTGTGTCAAGTGGACGTTAAACCCCATTTTTCTCTCTCTCTCGCATGTGTACATTCTTAATGGCTATAAAGTTGTCATCCCAATTGAAATAAAATTCAATCGTATGTTAGTCCCAAAATGACGTAGTTTGTGTCAAGTGGACGTTAAACCCTATTTTTCTCTCTCTCTCGCATTTGTACATTCTAAATGGCTAAAGTTGTCATCCCAATCATACACTGTTTCTACGTTAATAGGACAATGAAGTCTTGTGGTCCTTGAAATATCTGGTGGTTATATACAGACCAAAGCACAGAGTTATTGCCATTGATCATTTTTTAGAATCTTGTGAGTCGTCTAGTGGCGGAAGTTATTTTCCAATTGATCCGGTTTATATTTTTGAATGCACAGTGTTTATGTGAAGAAAACTATTGATTTTCAAAAACTCGAACATCAAAAGTTATCATTTAATTACCATTAGTCCTGCATTTTTATACGCCCACTTTATCATGTTGATCTATATTAAAATGGCCTCTGTCCGTCTGTCCGTCCATCCGTCCATAATTCATTTGTGGATTGTGGACACTCTACAGGTCAAAATTTTTATATGATTTTGACGAAACTTAAAATATAGGTTTATCTTCCAAAAATCTCGGTTCATTTCGATATTGGCATGTATTGGATAGTAACTTAATGGATTATGGCCCCTGATTGTACCAAAACTCATGTTTTTAGCTTGTGTATGCTCTGGAAGTCACAATTTTTACCTGTTGTTGAATGTCCGTTTATAACCCAATAATCGCTATTCCTTTCAACATTCACGCATATCGTACCGTAACTTTGTGGATTATGACCCCTGATTGAACGAAAAATCACAATTTTTATCCGATTCAAAAATATATCACCGCAACACCACAAGGAAGGTCGAGTTCATAATATCGAGGTTGTGGACACTCTTAGAGATCACAATTTTGATGAAACTTTCGATATTCAAACATTTCAGGCCATAACTTCCTACATTATGGACTCTGATTGTATGAAAAATAACATTTTTTTATTTTTAGCTTGTTCTCAATCCAACTCTTGCAAAATGTGGGCATATCTTGCCTGGCAGTGGCTGGTAATTTTCAATGTCTTATAATTTTTCCTATTTTATATAAAAAGAATAAATATGTGAATCACATAATATTATTGCCTGGCAACCTATCCTTCGTTTTATTGTCTTTAATACAATTTATATATCCACAGATTAAAAGTCTACTGTATATTTTATTTTATTATATACATTGTAGACCTATATACTTATTTCTGGTATATTTACTATTTTATTCTCATTAAATGTCTAAAGTATATACAATTTGCATATTTACAAAATTGAAGGTTTACTGTTTATTTAATTTTATTATATATTTGTGGAGCTATATACTTATTGCTAGACTACTGTACATGTATACAGGGGCGGATCTAGAAATTTTGAAAATGAGGGCACTGACCGCGGAGACAGGGCATGCCGCTGAAAAGGTTTTTTGGGGTGGGGGCACCAAGAAAATTATCCGTCATTTCCTTGCATCTGTAGCCATTCCAAGAGCTATTTGGCTGATATTTTCGTCTAGGTAAACGTTCGGAAATCGTTGAAAAAGAGCCTTACTTGATTCCACAAGATGCTATCATTGATGTCTGTCTATAGTCAGTCTATAAGATTAGGGCACCGTCAGCTTAACAACAAAAATTCGTTTGAAAGTGGAAGCATTAATTAGATCAGACTGGTGTGTTTGAGTCATTTGGGATCCCTGCAACGGGTTGGGAACGGACATATTTGGGTCTGAGAAAAGCCACTTTCAGCAGTAAAAAGGGCACTGTTGAAAATTAGGGGGGTGGGGGGGCCCGCGCCCCTCTGGATCTGCCTCTGGTATATTTTATTATATACACTGTAGATCTATATACTTGTTGCTATTTTATTCTCATTAAATGTCTATATACATATTTACATATTTACATAATTGAAGATTTACCGTATATTTGAATGTTTTGATATACATTGTATATATATATATATATACTATATGTAGGAGCTAGTCAATCTCCCAGAGTCCCAACCCCCGTGGGTTTTCTCCGGGCCCTCCGGTTTCCTCCCACTGCTAAAGAACCTGGGTCCTCTGGTTTCCTCCCACTGCTAAAGAACCCTATGCACAAGCGAATTATGGAAATAAAATTGAACCATAGGTTAGTCCCAAAATGACCTCTCCCAAACAGAGTTGTCTTCCCTTGCAGTTCACACTAACTGCTGGATAGCTAGTTACTTTAGTAACGAAGTTTTGGAGACCCCTAGTGCTCTCTCTTTGTTTCTGGCGCGTCCTAATGACAACTAATATGAAAATAAATCTTTTTCCCCATCTCGGTTCTAAGGCTATTTTGAAATCCTTTTGCCACATCCACAAATACCAGTAAAATTTATGTATTCAACATACATCAACAATCATTACATAAAATCGATTAATATGTAATTCAAGTACAGCAAGAATTTTTTGTTCACGGTAAAATTGCATTCCTAAATTTGGAATATTGGCTGAACGCGGCTATGAACCTGTCAATCTGTTTCACAGATTATTACGAAAGTCTTCTAATATCTCTGTAAAAGATGACTGCCTTCAACCCATGATGTCATATCACGCGGCGTCAATCATTGGCTCAGTGGCGCATGCATTGTTTACATAAGGCATTACATATTCAAGCAGAATGGCGCCTTTTACTCATTTTAATACCCATTTACACTAAAATAGGAAATAATTTTTACCTACAAATACTTCAAACGTCTTTATTTATTTTTCTAATACATGAAAAGAATGTTTTAGTATTTAATTTGTCGGAGGAAAAAAGTTAATATTTGTGACTCATTAAGTCACATTGATGTCATCCTTATCAGTGATTGTCGCGGCCTAGCGAATATTCACTGCGGATCAGTGTGTGAACCTCTCTGCGCAGGCATCAGTTTCATAATGGTGGACCGATTCAAATGAATGTTGTTTATGTTTTCGTAGCGCACAATTCTACATGAAAATAATGTTGGATTATTATAAATTTGTGTCAGATGTGGCAAGAAATGACTCCTTTTGGCGATCAAAGAAAAATCACGGTGAAAAATAGACGGTAAGGATTCCAAAGTAGCGTTAGAACCGAGATGGGGAAAAGCCCTATTTTCATGTTAGTTGTCATTAGGACGTGCCAGTAACGAAGAGAGAGCACTAGGGGTCTCTAAGACTTCGTTACTAAAGTAACTACTGGATAGGGAGACTTGCGTGGAGAAAGGAAGCTAGTGTATTTACCATTTTATTCTTATCTAATGTCTATATAAAACTTGATTATACAAGTTTATATAATTATTTTGATATTTTTATTTTGAATTATTAGTCCCCAGTACCAAGTAGTCTCAAGTGTGTGTGCATGTGTGCACTTTATATCATAATGTATATTTACTGTTTGATACAAACCATAATGTATATGTATATTTACTGTTTGATACAAACCATAATGTATGTCAATTATTACCTACTAGTATTGATTAATATATTGATTTTATTGATTATATATAATATTATTACATTGTATCTAATAAAACTTTATTATATAATTAACATGTTATTTTAATTTTGTGACCAAACTATAATTGAATTAATTAACTACATGTATAACTTATTATAATAATGTACCCGACAAGGAGAAGGGTTGCCAGTTCAGCCTCGTGGGTTTTCTGGTAGGTATTCCGGTTTTTCTCCCACAGATAAAGACCCCTATGTTGAATCAACTGATTGAAATTAAATTGAACCATATGTTAGTCCCAAAATAACCTAGTTTAATTGTATCATGTAGATGTTAAACTCTCTCTCTCTCTCTCTCTCTCTCTTCCAAACCTATTAAGTGTTGAGTGGGCATCAGAGAGAGAGAGCGAGACTCGGCACAAACTAGGTCATTTCGGGACTAACATGGTAAATTTTATTTCAATACTTTGCTTGCATGTAGGGGTCTTTTGCAGTGGGTGGAAACCGGAGGACCCATTGGAAACCCATGAAGTTGGACAGGAGACCCTACTCCTAGTCACGTACAAGCGGGGAATCGAAACCCTGCCAGTTGACTCAATGACAGGCCGTATGATACAGCCTGCACATGCTAACCACCCCACCCCCCCCCCGAATGGGCATCAGACTCTTCCTGTCTATTGCACCATTTGTTCCCACTCCCTGGAGCCAATTCCGTGATTGTATGCCAACAAGACCCAAGAACAGGACAAGTACTCAGTTGAGAAATGTGAGAAAGGAAGATATTTTAATTGTCAAACAGTTAGCAATTTCAAATTTCAACAACACTTTTAAAATTAAAAGGTATTTGATGGACGCCCACTGAAATGGATTTCCGGGGTCGTTACCCCCCCCCCCCCCCTTTGCACGCTACTCTGTGAGATAGACTTGGGTAGAACGTCTCGTGGACACCAAAAAGGAAGGTTAGTTTCAGCAATTTGATATCTAAAAGGAGAATCCAACCGGGACCGACACTAAATGCAATTAATATTGCTACATAAATTTATTGATTATTTGAAAATATCAAACTGAATTTAACATGAAGTTTTACATGTATTTACTTGTATTTGTTAAATTAACACAACAATATGTTACCAACCCATGTACTTTGATTCTGTTTACCTCCACAATGAATCATACTGGTGGAATTTTCCATACACAATTTCAATTATTATTTCACAATTTAATTTTTTTAATTATGATGGTTAACACCAATTCCTTTTTTTTTTTATTTTAAGATATAAAGAAATTCCATTCTATAAAACTAACTGTGGCTTCCTTCAGGACACAAATTTTTCTAAAACTAATTTCCGTATTGTAGATAGATAAAATATCCTGCTCATATCCTGTAATATTATGAAATGACAAGACAACTCTCTCTATATTAGGGTAGTTACTCTTCACTACCATCAACTCTATTCCTGGTTTCCTTCCACTGTTAAAGACCCCTTCGAGCATGTGAATTATTTATATAAAATTGAACCATTATGTTAATTCCGAAAGCCCCCCCCCCTCTCTCTCCGAATTACAAACATTCTGTGTTACCCAAAACCAGTGTTTACTGCATTTTGAAAATGGGAACCCCCGACTGTGGAACATCCGATGTTACATATTGACCAGAGTGGTACAGTTTCACGAATTTAAAGGAGAGGTCAGACAAATCACAATCCAAACCACAACCGTAAACCACCTTTCAGTTTGTCACAGTCAACAGTGACTCTTACATGTACCTTATCTCAGGTTATGAGATAGACTAATCAACTATCTTTGTCACAACCGTCAACAGTGACTCGTACCTGATCTCGGGGTATATTTACCAGTTAGACAAATCAACTATGTTTCCTTGTTGCGTTTATTGATTTACATGATTAATTACTAGTAATATTTACTGTTGATAATTTACCTGTCTTTGTCCGGAGGGGTGGCGGTCTAGTAGTTTAATGTGTAACGCTTCGAGTTCTTGCAGGTCGATCTCCTCTTGCTTGTTGGCAACGATTTGATCCCTGGTAAGGGTATATGAGGTTTTGCGATAGGAGCCCTTTCGCAACATCATCATGGGTTTCCTCCCGGTTTCCACCACATCAAAGATCCCTGCGCTTTTCTTCCCACATCAAAGATCCCTGCCATGAATTTAATGAAATAGAGGTACCATACCACAGAATTGTCCCAAAATTACACGGTTGGTGCCAAGTGGACATAAAACCCATTTGATGTCACTTCGGTTGTAGCCCTTCTTACTGAAATGTATATACATGTGTAGTTTAATCCACGATTAGCTACAATCTGATTATAATACAGTTCTATATTTCGTTTCGTTTTTTTATACTTTCGATGGCCTACACTACATGAAGATCTGACCGGTTGTGGCGATAGGCCGAGTCAGAGGTCATACCAGCGGCTTTTAACCTATGACGTCAGGCATTTGATTAACTAGTGGATTACCCACAGTTCCGTGCAAAACACGCCTAAAGCTCGCCGTAACAGACCGTTTCATTGACTTATCCCTGACACCATTCAGAACACGAGTTAAATAACAACTCTTCCAGATCTAAGTGTAGTAAAAACAAGTAAAACGAAATTTTGAACTATAAAAACGAAACGAAATAGGATCTGTGTTTTAACCAGATTGGATTAGATTACGTTCTGTCGCTCTTTGCCTTGTGTTTTATTATCTACATGTATTTTACCTTGGCTCCCCTACATGCTTATTGTTGTAGCTATTAACCTGAAATTAGTACAGTCCCTACATGTACGGTTCCTATCAAGGACCCGACAAACACTTAGATGCAGCGTGTGTGCAGTGTGTGTGCTATAGATCTGTCATTGAATTGTTTGTGGATTCGATCTTTCTTGTGAAGAGTAGGGTGAATAGCCAAACCTCTTGGGATTTCTCCAAGTTTTCAGGTCTCCTCCCTTTGTTATAGATCCGTACACAAGCTTTTATAGAAATAATAGGTAAAGATGTTAGTCCAAAAATAACCTAGTTTGTGTTGAGTAGACATAAAACCCACTGATATTTTTCTCTTGCTTTGAAGTTTCCGACAATATGCATGGTTTCCACTAGCGTTGTCTCCCATTGCTAAAGGCCCGTGTACTCCAAGAAATTATTGAAATAAAAATATATTGTGTCAGTCCCAATTTTTTCTGGAATGAACCCGTAAAATGCTAAACATTACATGTCGTATCAAACTACTCACATAGGATAAAACTGTTATACGATGTGAGTATAGTTTGAAATATCTAACACTTTCCCAAGCCGGGGGATCACATGGCTAAGTAGGTAAGACGCTGGCTCGCTAGCCTGGAGGTCGGATGTTCGATCCCTGCATTGGCCGAGAAAGTTCATCCAGATGTTTCCCCCTTTTCTGGGATGCGGGACCTCGGTTTTTCGACTCATCCGAAGGACTAGACAGCTGTCCTTGTCAGTGATGCAGGACGGAGGGCCTGACAAGGACAGCTGTCTAGTCCTTCGGATGATACTAAAAACCGAGGTCCCGTGTATACATTGGAATGCACGTAAAAGATCCCTTGGCAGTTGGAATTCGATATAAGAGTAGGCGATAGTGCCGCTGCCCGGGCAAAATTTCCCTCATAGCACACAGTATGGCGTATGCCCGTCTTCATTATCCCAGTATAGGAGCAGAACAGTAGGACGTTAAACCCCATTTCATTTCATTTTCCCAAGCCGGATAGTAATAACAACCCGTCTGAACATAATATTTGGATTTTGATATTCCTGAGGGTGGGGTGGTGGTGGTGGACAGTCCAAGGTTGCATATATTAAACATACATTATGACGTCACATTAATAATGATGTCATTGTATTAATCATTAAACATACATTATGCAAGAGCTAAATCTGTCTATTGCAGGTCTTTCTTTAGGCCTGAAATGTTATCTAAATTATTAATTACACATTAATTAACCTATCCAGATCATAATCAACTCTCGATGTCATCGCTATTTATTGGATTTCTATCCGATCTGCTGCTTAACGCTCATTGATGATTAAATCCAAAAAATGGATAATCGAGACTATGTTTTTTTTTTATCGTAACGGCATTAGTAATGATGATCGAGTCTAGGCCTAAAATTCCAAAGCTAATATCTCGGGTCCGAGTGGATCAATTTGACTGAAATTTTCAACAAATTCCCTTTACATTATCTAGCATTTAACTATTATAGTGAGAACTGCCAGCCCTTTATCTAATCTCCTTCAATGCCCCTTTAATTGTTTGGATGAAAAAAGGGATATTGTTTACTCACCACTACATCACCGGCTCCCATAAAATATTGGTTATTATCAATATCTGTTTGCTCCCTATCAATGCACCCCTATGGAAACCCGTATTTGAATCGTTGATCTGACAGTCCGTGGAATGGCCGCGGTTTGAATCACCTGGTGATCCGTATAGGCATCAGTATCTTAAAATCAAATTTATGTAAAAGAAATTCGTGTCACATATGGCTTTGCTCATGTTGAAAATTGAAATTCACCAGAAACAAACAAAAAAGACGAAAAATATGTTTTTTAATTACAAATTACACGAAACTGAATTCATGAAAAAACACATAAAAATGATTCAATCGGCATTCTTCTTCTTTATGGTTTATTAATCAAAGAATTATTTCCATGCATTACCCCCTCTCCCACCCAGTCCCAACCTCATCGCTGCCAGTATTTTGCGTTCCAGACAATACAATGAAGACAAAAAAAAAACCCATTTTCTTTTTCTCTCTGGCTGAACGTCACGATACAATACATTTAGATCGAGAATAACATTGGTAGAATATTACTTCAACAAACAACTTGTGGTTTTAAAGAATGTGCTACCGCCTTCATTAGACCAGATGGCACAGCCATTAAACCTCATTTCAATTCAGTTGGAGGAGTATGTAGCGTACTAAACTTGAAGTCTATTTATTTTTTGTTTTAATTAATAGATCTATTTTTATATATACGTTTAATATTAATTTATGGGTAAAACTATTTTATATATACAGATTAATGATATTAATAACATCCAGCTATATTTTACAGTCACGCTACCTGAAAAATACAACATTTCAAATATTTAATTAAAGAGCGTAAATCAATTGTTTGGAACATTGAATTACATGAAAATGGTTCTAAAAGCACATATTAGGTTAAGATGAGTGTATATAAAGTGATATACAATCAATTTGTAAAGTTTTTATCCTAATTTCTAATCATTCTGTTCGGTGAAATAAGTGAACAGTCCAAATGGAAAGGGAGTCGCAAACTGATCGAGGTTTCCGTGGAGGTCGCTATGATCACAACATCTGATTGGGCGCTACTGTTCACGTGTCTGTAGATAACGTAGCTATAAGTTCGGGAATAATAGTAAAGTAATCTAGCGATATCACCTCGGTGGAAGCGGACGTAAAATACAACTAACTCACACAGTAATCTAGCAAAGTCAAGATGTTGTAAAACTCGCAGTCGTTGCTTCACGAACATGAGGTAATACTAACATCATCAGCTGATGACGTGATAAGGTGCGCGTATCAACAGGTGATTATAAACCATACATTTGATTTCATATTTAAAGGGATGACAAAACGGCAACAGAAAGAGGCGGAATTAACTTACCAGCAGGTTGTTCACAGATGAAATTAGCCAAGGCAGCACAGTCTAAATCATTATATCTTCCACCTTGTAACATCACAGCACAATCTTCGTTATTAAAATTATTTGGTTCGCCATTCCAATTGCTGAAAGGAACAGGGTGGAATATAATAATTTACTCCGGGACTAAACTATTTTGATTTAGATCCAAATGGAGTTTATATTACGTATTATTTCGATAGATGATGGGACGAGGTCTATAAGCGTTATGACTTCTAGCCTCTAGCTTCCAGATCACTGATTGAAGGCGTTCTGACTTTAGCTTCCACATCACTGACTCAACGCGGTCTGACTTCTAGCTTCCACATCACTGACTGAAGGCGTTCGGAATTCTAGATTCCATATCACTGACCGGAAGCGTTTCAAGGTCTAGCTGCCACATTACTGACTGAAAGCATTCTAAGTTCTAGTTTCCAGATCACTGACTGAAAGCCTTTCTAGATCACTGGCTGAAAGTGTTCTGGCTTTTAGCTTCCAGATCAATGACACAACGCGTTCTCTAGCTGCTAGATCGCTGATTCCAAACGTACCCAACGCGTCCGCAAGAACAACGTTATATATTCCATGCCGAGCCGTGCTCTAAGCGCTTCTAATGCCACTCAGGGTGGGGGTGGGGTGAGAATTAGGAACTTTATATCTACATGGGGCCAAGATTAGCAACAATATACTTACATGAGGTCAAGATTAGCAACAATATACTTACATGAGATCAGGATTAGGGGTTGTATCTGAATCTCTTTCCCACACCCATTCACCGGCCACTAATCTATCATTCAATCCAGTCCACCAACCACGGGCTGTTAGCGGCATCTTAGCCAGCAGACTGTTTATAAATTTCTTCAAAATAAATATGTACATATATCACGATTATGTTTCTATTTACAATGACGGATATGTGATCGAATGGTTTAAGGCTTTAGATCATAAGGTCTGTCATTGAGTCAAGCGACGTGGTTTCGATTTCCCGTTTGTACGTGACAAGGCATGCGGTCGCCTGTTCAACCTCGTGGGTTTTCTCCAGATCCCCCCGTTTCCACATACTGCTAAACAGTCCTACGCATAAGCAAATTATTGAAATAAAATTTGTACGGAAATGATAAAGTTTGTGTCGAGTGGACGTTACACCCAAATTCTTTCTTTTTTTTTCACGCCTTGCGCTGATGCGTCGGTAACGTCGATGCGCGTCGGGTATTGTTGCGTCTTATAAAACTTTTGATGATTGTTCTGGAGGATGTTATTTTGTATAAACCCACTGTCCCGGATGACGATGGCGATTCTAGTCTGTCACTCATGGTCTTGATCCATTTGGCTTAAATATACTCCTGCATATATATGCATGATGTTAATGCCGCCGACGAGCGTTTTCGAATCGAGATTTGAATATCCCTCTGCCTATGTTGATGCTAATGAAGACGATGTTTTGGATGATGATGTAGCTGATGATGATAATGCATCTCATGATGCATGATGCTAGTGAATAGAATGCCACTTGTGTAAATGCTTTTAATGTAGCTTTTATATATAATGAAAATGGAATATGTTTGCTGATTCTGAGGATACTGCGTGCACACCAGATGCCAATGTGATGCTTGTTTGACAAAGAAACCTCCTATGGATGATACTTATGGTCATGGTGATGCTTATGAAGATGAAACTGTGGATCACTATGTTCTGCAAGATAATGGACGTTAGCAGTGTTCTATACATGTAATACTTCTAGTACTACGGACTCGGTTGATGATGATGATGATGACTAAAAACTAATGATAGTGTTTCGGATTAAGATTCGTCCTAACTTGATTCTTATGGCGACGATACTGTTAATGATGCCACATCAGATATAGGCTTTGTTTTGTTATACTTACTACTTCATCTTGAGAATCTAGTCCCAGATATCCAGCCTGCAGATCATCATCTTGTGCATGCGCCCTATCTAAACAAGTCTGTTGTACTTCAGTCCACATCACCAGGTCGGTCATATTGGTGGAACTAATATAATAACAGGCGGAGCCACCATCAGAAATCCATCCATTTAAACACGGAGCCCCTATAGAGATATATAACTTCATTAAATTAACTGAAATGTGGTTTAAGGTCAGGAATCTAGCCATTTAAACATGGATCTCCTGTAGAGTCATACTAACTTCATTCATGTACAAATGAAATATGATTATGAACAAATAAAATGAAATGTACCTAAATAAAATAAAACCAAGTACGAACAATCTAAACCATTAGACAGAATTCGAAGTCCTAAAACAAAAGGGTATGGCAAAATAGTGTAATCAGCAAATGAACTGTTCACCGTGTACAAAATACACGACAAACAGTGGCAACAGGTGTCCGGAAGAGTAAGCTTACCCTGCCTGGCGCCACACCCGCCATACATGAAAAGAGATTATACGTCCTGCTTTCTACACCGACCTGTTTAATGAAAATAGGCGAACGTCTTGCAGTATGCTATCAGGACTATTGTGTCGGACCAGCTGGGTTTCAGACATCCTCGGTTACCCAGTGTACTCATTCCGTTCTACTCCACTATACCCTGGGTTAATCCAGTGGAGTAGAACGGAATGAGTACACTGGGTAACCGAGGATGGGTTTCAGACTACTCTTCTTCAAATTTCAACTGGCGAGGGTTCTTATATATGCACGCCAATGTGTTCAAGTCACTTAAAGGGGAAGGTCAACGATTTTCAACAAGGTTTCCATAAACCTTAAATATATATTAATAAATAATCCCCCCCCCCCCCCTTGTAGCACAAGCAAAAAAGTTTTTGTAAGCGAGAAATTAATTTTTATTAACACGGGAAGTGACATACATAGTTGGTTCAACACGCTCACTGGACTCTATAGTAAGCATATAGATTTAGGAATATATATTTGAGATTATGGAAACCTTATTGAAAATCTTTGGTCTTCCCCTTTAACAACAAATAGCAATATAGGGGGTGGTGAGGAACTGTTCTCGGGTAAAATCTGATAGAACACAATGTGTCTGGGATATATTAATCATTGGTTTTATTCTATTAATAGTTTGTTGATATCCCATATAAAATTGTGTTCTTTTTAATTTGTTCCACATAATGTCACTTAAAGACCAAGTTCTGGGATTATGTTGAAATGTAGACCTAGTTTATTTTGTATTTTGATTTTAATTTTGAAACTATCACCTGGATCATTGACATATTCACAGATAAAACCCTGTGTTTGTGTACAACTAACATCAGTAAAACTTCCATCACGACCCATTCTACCACATCCTGGAATCGACAAGTCATCACGGGGTTGTTGGTCCCATTGTCTGAAGATAAAAAGGAAATATAAAAAAACAAACTCTCTATTTAAAACAGCCGCGATAAGACTAAACCAAAAACACCAAATAGATCTTATATCGAGCGTAAATCATCATGGTATAACGCCCTGTTTTAAAACAGCCGCGATATGGCAATGGACTATTTACAGTGGCGCAGGAACTCGGTCGACTGGCTTGGCGTTTGCTATCCAGTTGTACAGGTGGTCGGCAAAAGTATCTGGTCAATTTGACAATTTTTGATTGACCACCTCACAAGTTTACAAACGGTGATTATAATTACTTCCCGCAGTAATTGCCAACCTCCTTCCTCACTCGATATACAATTAAATGACACTAGGAAACAGCAATTGTAAAAAATCACATACCCCCCCCCCCACACACACACACACACCTCCGTAATATCTCAAACAATCATGAATTGTAAAACCCTACAGACAATGCAAGAGACAGCAGTATGTACTAATTTAGTGTTAAGACTATTGATGTTGTTAAATATCTGAGTATAAAAAACATCTTTGTCTATTAAATGGGTATGCAACAACTGCATAATGCATGGACTAGCACGTACATAAAGACAACTCAAATTTTGGAAACACTGATTATACTTTTGCCCAATAAGTAATCCAATTGTCACAAAGAAAGGGGTAGGGGATATTTTGTAACGTATTTTTACTGGGTTGTTACTTACATGTATTGTATATCTAGTTTGATTCTATCAGGGGGAGGCGGGGTTGTTACTTACATGTATCATGTATCTAGTTTTGTTCCATCAGGGGGAGGGGGAGGGAAGGGGGTGTTACTTACATGTATTGTGTATCTAGTTTAGTTCCATCAGACCATCTATAATCACCTTCTGTATTTATATCATTGAGTCCAGTCCAATATCCACCACTACCTATAAGCTGTCGATCTAACCAATACTATAACATTAAATATAAAAATATAACAACCAATACTATAACATTAAATATAAAAATATAACAACCAATACTATAACATTAAATATAAGAATATAACAACCAATACTATAACATTAAATATAATAATATAATCATCTGCCTGATCTAAATAATACTATAACATTAAATATAAGAATATAACAGCCAATACTATATCATTAAATATAAGAATATAACAACAAATACTATAACATTCAATATAAGAATATAACAACCAATACTATAACATTAAATATAAAAATATAATCATCTGCCTGATCTAAATAATACTATAACATTAAATATAAGAATATAACAACCAATACTATAACATTAAATATAAAAATATAATCATCTGTCTGATCTAACTAATACTATAACATTAAATATAAGAAAATAACGAATACCTATAACATTAAATATAAGAAAATAACGAATACCTATAACATTAAATATAAGAATATAATAATCAATAATATAACATTCAATATAAGAATATAATGATCTGCACTTCAATAGACTAACACAGGGTGCAGTTAGTATAGTGTGCAATAAAAATGATAATTGCATTTTCTACACACAAAGAACTATCTACGCTACAAGCGAGGCTAATTGTAGCCAGAGAGCCTTAACTAAAGTCTGAGAATGCTTTGTGAACTCGAGGCCTACATGCTGGGGGTGAAGATCCAAAAAGCGTTTGGTATATCATGGAGATTTTTATAAAATGTCCCGAACGCCATTTTGACAAACTAATATAGGTGAAGGACAAAATGATGATGGAAAACAGACACATATTATCATTATTTACCTTTTCAGAAACGGCATTCACTTTTACTAAATCCCCTCCGCCACGTTGACAGACAGATCTCGCTGACTGCCACGATACTTTACTATTATTAGCAAACAGGTAACAAGAGTGACCTGCCCTTAGCCAATGATCAGGACAGCCAAATGCAAATTTCTCTGAAAAATATTGGATGAATCCAGGTTAAGTTGCCATGATTATGTTGATTTTTAAATTAAATTATCAAATGACCACCGTGTTTCAATCCGTTCGAAATCAAAACCATCCGATGGTCTAGAGAGCTGATTATAGACTTTGTCATGTGAATAAATTTGTAATTAATAATTAATATAACATATGAGACCAAAGAAGGACCTGCCATAGGTAGATTTAACTACTAAATAATGCATCTTGAAATTTTGGCGATTTAAATTTTTAATTGATTTGAAAGCCACGGTTTATGTTTTGGTAGTTTGGTGACGTCTTTAATTCGTTACGTCACACTGTCACAGAGTTATACTCACTTTGAACAGCTGATTTTTGACAGATGAAATGTGATCTACCCGAACACTTATAATCATCGACCACACCCCCTGTATACATGATAGCACACGATTCATCTGATCCATTACTTGGTGCATTATCCCATGATCTGAAATATAGAAATAAACAAGCTCTATACTACCCCGTTACTAGGTGCATGTATCCCATGGTCTAAAATATAGAAATTAAGTGTAGTTTAATGCTCGAGTGCGAGATATTAAGTAATATTTTGATATTGAAAAAGTGCGATAACACGAGGGCAATATCTATATATTACGCAATGTCTTGCACGAGACCATTAAACAACTTAAAATACAGACACTATCCAGCACGTGCATTTCAATGAAATACGTCACGCGGGTCCAATATTTCAACTAGTGTAAATAATGTACGCCACTATAGAATTTTCAGTATAGAAAAATTTGATTCCAAATAAAGTATATTGAATTGGGTTCAAAAATTAACGTTTGGTATATACCATTAACTATCTGGTTCGAAATATTATTCTCAAGCTGGTTTGCTTCCTGATGCTTGACTTATTAAATTTCCAGGCCCGGGTTTCACAAAACATTCTCAGACTGAAGTTAAGAATTTACTCAAAATTATTCTCCTTATTTTAACTACAATATACACCTTTATAAAACTTTTGTTGTTTTAATGAATCAAATACATCAATAAGAAAATATGTGTATAGTTATGTGTTTCTGGATCAATGTGAAAGTTAAAAGTTGTGTAAATTCTGAACTGAAATCTTAGAATGTTTGGTGAAACCGGGTCCAGAGCTTAAGCTTAGGTTAAAGTATACCAGTAACGATCATAAACGTTAAATTATGTGTCTTTATTATTTCTGTATACTAGGCGTTTTATACCATGGTCATATGTCAACCTTGTTCGTTCAGATGGCTTAGAATTCAGATTAAGTGGTCAACTGATACATTATTGTGGGACATTATCCACAGGAGTGAAATGAAATGGGGTTTAACGTCCTGCTGTTCTGCACCGACCGGGTTAAGGTAGACGGGCATACGCCAAGCAATGTGCTATGGGATAAATTTTGCACGGACAGTGGAGCTCGGTTTGTTTTTCGTCCCATCCGAACGTCCAGACACTGGCCCCCGTTCTGCACAACCGACAAGAGAAAACAATGCTGGACAAGTCCAAGGCTATTTCTTTCTTGGTCAGTAACGGGATCAACCAGCAACCCCTTGGCTAGTGGCACAGTGCCTAATACCCCCGTCAGACCGTCGTCTCCGTGGTCGCCAATGATCGCCGAGTCACGGCGTTTGTTTTGAGCATGTTCAAAACAAACGCCAAGGTTCTGCGATCTGACCTGGAAAACTGTGCGAAGGTGACTTTTTGCAAGTTTGTAATTTTTTGTGACATTTTCTCGCGTTATGTTCAAGTTTGCCGGCTACCTTGTTAATATCTGGTCGCTGTACCGTCGCGGCAGCGCAGTAAGGACGCCACCTCGGTCTGACGGGGGCTTAACTCACAGAGAGGATTCCACTGACTGGAGTGAGTATTAAAACATTCTTACGTTAAGGAGGAGTTCCATGTATTGGCATCTTCCCATTTATAGAAGTCCTCCCTGTCCCGATCGTTGAGCCCAGTCCACCATGGTGTTGATACGCCAGCAGCTCGATATGGAAGCTCAGTACTGAAAAAATCCTAAAATAAAAAGCAATGTATTTATTTTATTTATATCATTAATTTCAAAATAAGGAACAAGTGTTCGTTGATCTAAATAAATAAAAGCCTAGTTCAACAACAATTCGGAAGGTACGGCTCGTATGTGAGATAATAAGTGGCATTAAGTGTTCTGGAGGGGGACTCATACATTCTCCTATGTATAACAACCGACACTGCTTATCACCTTTATCATTGTTAATTATTGACGTCAATTGACATACTATCGCCATCATATCAGGAAACGCCGTTCAATAGACGACCATCGTCAAGACCCGTCGCAACATTTCTGTTGCATCTTTCTTGTTTTTTTTTTGTTATGGGGTGTGTGTGTGTGTGTGTGGGGGGGGGGGGCTGTCCGAATTGTCAACGCGTGTGCGTTGCATCATAAGTTGTGTCATTGAGTCAAGTGGTTGCAGAGTAAAATTGTTACTTTTATAGCCAATGGTTTCGACTTTATTCATTTACATTAAAGCACCATTTTATTGGTAATGCGTTTTAACCAGATTGGAGAAATATTTCCAAATCAAATGTTTGTTATTAAAAAAGTGTTAATAGATAATGTGTGTCGAGCAGATGGTAGGAATAAGCCGTACATACGACAAGCTATATAAATAAATATGAAGAGCCCCGCGGAAGAACGATCTAAGTTACTTTTACAACGAACCCCAGTTAATGGCCCCATCTGGTAACAAATTGTATAAGCTTTCTGTGGAACAATCAATTTCAGGTAAACACGATCGGAGTCACGTCGAACCAAGGCCCTTATGATTCGTATTAAACATCATTTTGAAGTTGTAATTAAACCCACTCGTTGTTCTGTTCGAGTCAAGCATTCTCGTCCAAAAGTCTGTTTTGGCTTTTATGCGAAAAGACAAAAATGTGACTTAGATCGTTCTTCCCCTGGACTCATCGAATACATTCAAGAATAGTAAAAGAGCTTACAGATTCTATTCCAGAAGTAACAGACAAAAGGTGCATTCCACCACGTTTGAGAGGATTGAGGGATTGGCATTTAGCCAAGGCATCGTTCCAGTTGAGAAATTCTGAAGGATTAGCCGGATCTGCGACCCAATAACAAGCATAGATAAGATACGCCCATCTTTCATCATTAACAGGCGTTGGACAGTATTCCTCTGAAATTAAATTATATAGTTCATGGTTACTTATATAGCTCATGATTACTTATACAGCTCATGATTACTTATATAAACCATTGTTACTTATATAACCCATGGTTACTTATATAGCACATTGTTACTTATATAACCCATGGTTACTTATATAACTCACGGTTACTTATATAACCTATGATTACTTATATAACTCATAGTTACTTATATAACCCATTGTTACTTATATAACTCATGGTTACTTATATAACCCATTGTTACTTACATAACTTATGGTTACTTATATAGCACATTCTGCAGTTCAGTCGTTCATTCTTATAGACATTTTTGTCACAATTAAAACTCAACATGGAATCAAATATTTCAAGAATTGAATTGCTTGAATTAATTTGTTACAATTATAATTATAGTCGTGATTAAAGTCTTATATCACACTCCCTGGAAGACTTGGACAAATTTCATAATAAACAAACTGTAATTTTACATACAGTCCACCACTGTTACAGATGACCGTCATCGTCATCTCTTTACTGTTTTAGTTCTTATTATTATTATATAGCACCAATTATATTCAACCTACTGCGTTCTTTAATGTACTTACATTCACCGATTGATATATTATAACTACCATATTAGGCGTGTCTTTTCTTTTAGACCGTTGTATACGATTAATATAACTACCGTATTAGGCGTGTCTTTTCCTTTAGACTGTTGTATACTATTAATATAACTACCATATTAGGCGTGTCTTTTCTTTTAGACCGTTGTATACGATTAATATAACTACCGTATTAGGCGTGTCTTTTCCTTTAGACTGTTGTATACGATTAATATAACTACCATATTAGGCGTGTCTTTTCCTTTAGACTGTTGTATACGATTAATATAACTACCATATTAGGCGTGTCTTTTCCTTTAGACTGTTGTATACGATTAATATAACTACCATATTAGGCTTGTCTTTTCCTTTAGACTGTTGTATACTATTAATATAACTACCATATTAGGCTTGTCTTTTCCTTTAGACTGTTGTATACTATTAATATAACTACCATATTAGGCTTGTATGATTATTTGTAATTATATTAAATGTAATATTGTTTAAAGCATTTGCTATAGAATTCATTCGTCAGATATAAATTCCTCCATTTATAGAGTGTTTCTTACTTTCCTTTTTCTTGAATTTACAAATATAGGGATATTTACTGGTACAGAAATCATCACTGAATTTATTATACTGATTCAAGGTACAACAATCTTGTGTATCATAATTATCAGGCTCTTTATTCCAATTACTACAAAAACAAAATATACATATAATATATCTTTATATTAAACATACATTATGACGTCACATTAATAATGACGTCATTGTAATAATCATATTAAACATACATTATACAAGAGGTAAATCTGCATATTGCAGGTCTTTCTTTAGGCCTGAAATGTTATCTGAATTATTAGTTCGGCATTAATTAACAAAACAAGGCCATAATATTATATATCTTTATATTAAGGGAACAGTCAAGATTTATTTTAGTGAAATCTACTGCTCGAAGACAGGAAATCTGTAACTTAGGGACGTGTTTGGGGATCGGGGGCGTTAATGAAAACTACTGCTCGAAGACAGGAAATTTGTATCTTAGGGACGTGTTTGGCGATGGGGGCGGCAGTAAAAACTACTACTCGAAGGCAGGATATTTGTATCCTAAAGACTTGTTTGAGGATGGGGGCGGCACTGGAGGCGACGGGCATCCATTTCCGAATGCGTCCAATCAAAGAGTGAAATTGAATTATGTGTTTTGAAATTTTAAATGTTCGCTGTTAACTTTGTGATACGAATTGCCTTACTTAACTTGAATAAAAAGTTTATTGAATCTGTTTTTACATATTCATATGGAACATTTTAAAACGGTAAATATTCTATTTTTTCCCGATGTGGACATTGATTTACATTATTTAAAATCACGTTTTGTGCGGTGTTCTGTGAAATCCCTTGACAGCAGAAACAACACAATATAGTCATTCTATTGAAATGCGAAATGAAATGAAATGGGGTTTAACGTCCTACTGTTCTGCTCTGAACTGGGCTAATGAAGACGGGCATACCCCATACAATGTGCCATGAAGGAAATTTTGCCCGGACAGCGGCACTACGGCCTACTCTTATATCGAATTCCAACTGTCAAGGGATCTTTTAAGTGCAAGCCAATGTGTACACGGGACCTCGGTTTTTCGTCCCATCCGAACGACTAGACAGCTGTCCTTGTCAGACCCTCCTTCCTGGGAAAAATCTGGATGAATTTCCTCGGCCAATGCAGGGATCGAAAACCCGACCTCCAGACTAGCGAGCCAGCGTCTTACCCACCGTAAACCCCTATACTGAAATGCGAACTATACCATTACAAATAGCTCGCAAATCCTTAAAAAAAGTTTCAAATAACTTCAACATGGATCTAACGATAAGCTAATATGTTAAATATCTTATATATTATTACATGTAATGAAAATCATACATATCGGATGTAATGAATATCTTACATACTGAATGTAATGAATATCTTACATATTGAATGTAAAGAATATCTTACATATTGGATGTAATGACTATCTGACATATTGGATTTAATGAATAACTGACTTATTAGATGTAATGAATATCTGACATATTGAATGTAATTAATATCTGACATATTGAATGTAATGAATATCTGACATATTGAATGTAATGAATATCTTACATACTGAATGTAATGAATATCTTACGTATAGGATGTAATGAATAACTTACATATTAGTAGCGACTGTACCGTCTAACCAGGACCAGGAATACGGTGATACCTCCTGTTTCTTTAATCCAAGCCACCAACCAGAAGTCGGATACGATTCAGTCTGTACGTTTATCCATTGCTTGATTTAAAATAATAATAACAAGAAATGGAGTAAAACTATGCTTGAGTGTGATATGGGAGAAATTTTTCCGGGCAGCGGAGTTAACGTCTATTCTTTGTCGAATTTCAACTGCCATGGGACCTTGGGTTTTCTTCCTATCCGAACGACTATAGACACTCTTCCAGTTCCTTGCCAGATCTTCTATCCAAAGAAACCAGGCTGGAAAATCCCACAAACTTTGTAGGCCAACAACGTGATCGATCCCTTGGCCTCTTCGTCTATACTTAGTGAGCCATCCGACAGCGATTGAAAAAAGATAAATCCGACAATTGCGAAATACAAATATATAATTTATAAATCAAATAAATGTACTGTGAATAATGTGTTAACCATAATCACAAACAAAACATATCAACTTTCAAAGTTCATTACATGCAAACCTATCACTATGCTTTTGAAAATCTTTCATATATAGCGGGATTTCCTGAAGGTCTACAGAAATTCTTCATACACAAAAATGATATTTTGAACCCCCACCAAGCATAAAAATAAAACTTTATAATTCAGCACAAATCTAACTATATCAGTCCAGTTTAGCATCGAACTGGGGTATGTATTTTAAAAGTTCAAGTTCGGGGTTCGTACCTACAGTGAATGCTGACCACGACACTTACGATTAAAGGCCAGTACGAGTCTTGATTTTAGATTATGTCATACGAGAGTACCCCCCCCCCCCCGCCAAATCACAAAAACCATAGACACCATGTTAATGTCATACTATTATTATGATGCTTCTTATTGACAAGCTAGCCAGCGCTAAACTATGTTTGTGTCTTTACTAAACTATGTTTGATCTTCACCAAACTATGTTTGATCTTTAACAAACTATGTTTGATCTTTAACAAACTATGTTTGATCTTTAACAAACTATGTTTGATCTTTGATCTTCACCAAACTATGTTTGATCTTTAACAAACTATGTTTGATCTTTACTAAACTATGTTTGATATTTACTGAACTACGTTCGACCCTTGCTAAACTGTTTGATCTTTTACTAAACTATGTTTGATATTTTACTAAACTGTTTGACCCTTACTAAGCTATATTTTTCGTATGCTAAGTCTAAGCAAAACTAAACTTTTTCTGTGATAAACTAAGTCTTGTCTAGACCATGCTTGGTGTATGCTAAACAATGCTTGGTCTATGCTGAACTATGCTTGATGTACAATAAACTGTGTTTGATATATGCTAGCTTGACTAAACTATGTATTATAGATGGGTTGACATCGGTCAACAGTTGACTAACGATACGAACATTTTGAAAATATATTACCTGTTCTGTGGAGCTACCAACCATAAGTAGTTCTGAACCACGTGAGTGACATTCATCATGAGCCTGGGTGAAGGTCACTTGATCTATAGTATTCCAATAATAACACTTCTGATTGGCTAATAACCATCCTGGCTCACATGACGTTGTTTTAACGACGTCAATAGCTAAACCGCATAAAAATTTCATTAACAAGACAAGGGCTTTATTTACGAAAATTTAAAACTAAAATATCATTAGAATGCAGGCTTTTAATTGGATGAAAATATAAACTATAAACCAAAACGTTTAACTTCCATACAATTAAAAGGTTAAATCCTCCAGAGGAAGTATTCGCGGGATATTATTTTTCTCTTAACTCATGCGTATACTGAACCACCTTATGTTCAGTAACTCAATGATTATATTGGACCTTGTGTCGATATATTCAATCCCTTGGTGCCTCTGAAAGAAGTTATAATCAACATTATAGTAAAGACACTGTGTGTGCTATGGGGGGGAAATTTGCACGGAGAGCGAAGCCCTTTTACGTGTCCGCAAACGTGTGCACGGGACCGCGGATTTTCGTCCAATCTGATTAACTAGAAGCTGTGTTCGGCCCTCTTTCCCACAAAACTGACAAGGGGGGGGGGGGGGGTCACGTGGCTAAGTGGGTAAGACGCTGGCTCGCTAGCCTGGAGGTCGGGTTTTCGATCCCTGTACTGGCCGGGAAAGTTCATCCAGATTTTCCGGCGTGGTTCCCCCTTGTTAGTGATGCAGAACGGAGGGCCTGACAAGGACAGCTGTCTAGTCCTTCGGATGAGACGCAAAACCGAGGTTCCGTGTATACATTGGAATGCACGTAAAAAATCCCTTGGCAGTTGGGATTCGATATAAGAGTAGGCGATAGTGCCGCTGCCCGGGCAAAATTTCCCTCATAGCACACTGCATGGCGTATGCCCGCCTTCATTAGCCCAGCATAGGTTCAGAACAGTAGGACGTTAAACCCCATTTCATTTCATTTCATTTCCACTGACAAGGGGGAAACCCCGCTGAATACTCGGTCTAACAGCGTAGTCGAACCCAAGACTTCTTGGGTAGTGAGCTCAGCGTTTTACCCACTGAGCCACCGAGGCACCAATAATTAAATAGTTGTAATTATTAACTTTACCTGTTAGATAATGAAGCGATAACAAAAATAAAAATGGACAGAGATATTTCATCCTCCTGAAAAAAAATTAAAAACAACATGAAAATTTCAATGGGTAATTGGGCCCAGTTGCTCTCCTATAAACCCAACCCGGCAAACACGAATCAATCTAATGGGTAATTCCATGTCAAGCGGACCACATAGAAAGTTGTCGGGTGACAGGGGATCATCCGAGAAACACTGGTCCACTTGGCATGGAATGACCCTAATACACTATACGCTATTTAGAAGTATTTTGGGTTTTATATTTTACTTTATTAGAAGTATTTCAAGTTTTTCAAAATACCATAATCACAGAAAGACCCATGTTATGAATAAGAAAATTTTATAACAGTGGGCGTGGTCTAAATTGACACGAAGGGTCGTGCACGTGCTGTATATAGGTTTGATTGATTTATATCAACAGTATAAACTTTGATTTATCAAATCTCAAAGATACATTATGTAAGATTTAGATAAAGAGCTGACAGTTATCGCTATAATAGTTTAAAAATAGATAATGAAAAATGAATCTTTAAACATACATAATGCAAGAGCTAAATCTGCCTATTGCAGGTCTTTCTTTAGGCATGGAATGTTATCTAAATTATTAATTAGACATTAATTAACTTATCCAGACCATAATCAATGCTCGGTGTCAACGCTAGCCTGCGATATTTATTGGATTATGATCCGATCTGCTGCTCAACTTTCATTCATGATTTAATCATGAATTGCATAATCGAGACTATGTTTTTTTTTATCGTACCGACTTTAGTAATGATGATCGAGGCTAGGCCGAAAATTCAATCGTTAAAATCTCGGTTCAGAGTGGATCACTTTGACATAATTTCAGCATGTTCCCTTTACATTATCTAGTTTTTAATTATTATAGTGAGAACTGCTAGCTCTTTATCTAATATCCTATAATGTATCGTTAGCAAATTACAGTCAAATTACTTTATTCTGACCGAAGTTATGAATGTTTGGAGGAGTTTCGATTGTAATTGCTACCGTTGTTGCGATAGTAAACAAAGTCTCGATTATCCAGTTTTTAAAAATAAATGATTAAATACCGATATAGTTTCAATCCATTGAAATGGTCGAGCATCCGATGCTCTTGAGAGTTAATTATGGTCCTGTCTAATTAATAATTTTTATAACATTTCAGACCTAAAGAAAGACCTGCAATAGGCAGATTTAGCTCTTGCATAATGTATTTGTAAAGATGATTGAGTCTATTATCCCGCCATCAAACGGTTTGTCTTTATGAAGGAAACATAAATGTAGAGTAAATATGTCGTGAGTGCCCGACTTGAAATAGGCTGTGTATGGGAACTAGACAACTGAAGCTGTGTACAAGGCATGCCCAATACCCCCTCGACATTGTTTTCTATGAGACTGTGGTATTCAGATCGAACTACTCAGGTGAAAGTTGCTTGATCGTGCCCTCACGACCCCCCCCCTCCCCCAAACCCCGGCGTCTAGCCACACATACATGCAACATCGTCAAGAACAAGGATGTCTTTTGTGTACACTCATTATGTTCAATTTGTACATCTACTCTTATGCGTAAATGTATCTAATTGAGCTGTACTAATTGTTTTGTCTATCTTTTGTTGTGCAGTTCTCCTGTGATGTTGTCTATTGATGTACAATATAAAATCGCCCCATTTACAGTTCATATCTACTAATTGTACACATAGTAGGTACTCATATCACATAGATTAGAATTTGGGTCACATATTTCACAATATCAGTTATAGTTTTTATAAACCATATCTTGAACATCGGTGCGGCTTAATGAACTCCATACTCCTTGCAGTTTTTCCTTTGATTAGAGCTAATCACACTTAACACTGGTGTAATGGAAGCAAATTTCTGTTCCAAATTATGACTGGTCAATAGTCCGATTAACAACCAATGCCTAACTATGTAACAACATCATTACGCTTTAACAGAGCTCCGAATTGGACCAAATATGTTTACATAACGTTACGTCATGACGCACGATTTTATTATGCCCAATTAACCAGTGCATAGCAGAAAACTGTAGAAAACCTAATTGTGTGACAAACGAGGCTACCAAAACGATTACAATGTAAACTATACTCTTTGGAGACGAACAATACTTTTATAGTAATACCTTAAATCACTGTCCAAGGTTTTAGGGAAAACCCCAGATTAAACAAAGGGCTGTCGTGTTGTTTCAAAAGCTCAAGTATCAGAAGTCAATCCAGCAATATTAACTATTTTCCTTCTGCAAATTAACTTCTAGAATAATGTTTTAAAGTATTAGAAAAATAAATAAAGCGTTTGAAGTATATCTGGATACAAAATATTTCCTATTTAGTGTAACTGGCTATATAATTTGAGTAAAAGGCGCCATTCTGCTATGTAAACAATGCACGCTCCATACAACCAATGAGTTACGCCTTGTGATGTGACGTCACACGTAGAATTCACGTGAACTTGATAAAGGTCAGTCATCTTGTAGAGATAAAAGTAAAAGATGTGAAATAGATTGAATCCTATCCTGTTCAAACCAATTTGATGAAACTAATTAACTCTGTAGCGTGAGCACAGATGTTGATGGGCGACCGGACGGTTTAGTGTGGCGATAGTTTACAGCCACATCAACACGTGGGCGATTACAAAGGGTGCGTTTGGAGCCTGCTCCCAAAGATGTAAAATATATATTTAATAACCTTACATGACGCGATTATCTTGCCAAATTAGAACTGTTCGGATATCTAGGTTCAAACGACTGGTCTAGATAGCTGTAAACATTGGCGGGTGTAGTACACGTGGCATGGTATACTATTTATTTAACACCTTATACCACTTTCGTTACACACAATATTCCTGGCACAAGAATACAGTTCATTATATGCTTATTATTTTGTATATTATTGTATATTTCAGTTATCAACGTGAATGGGCCAAAGACTGATCCTTGAGCAACACACAAATTCAAAATATTTCAGAATAGACTATTCCTATCCAATATGAAGCAAAACTAGCACCCGGATTTCCCAATGGGAGTGTGGTGGGGATGGTGTACCATTGTTTAAATGATATGGGTCGGGGTAGCTAAATACCGCCAAGGGGAGTTTCGTCGATTGGTAAATTCAGTTATGCCCCCTCACCGTCCCCACAATATGACCACTGGTTTATATGGCCTATTTGATTAAACATTAAGCCGTATTCGATCCGGTTATTAGATATGGAAGAAAAAGATATTAAATCCCAATATTAGAAGTTGTAAGGTACACGAGCGTATTAACAGCTAGAGAACTGGAATTAGCCAACAGAAACGATATACATGTAATAAGTAAAGCTTTAACTGACTGTTTACCTGTACACTTCACCTGTATATGAACACATCACCTGTGTATGTTCACTTCACCTCTATATGAACACATCACCTGTATATGAACACATCACTTGTATTTCAATGTACATGTATTATATATACATCACCTGTATTTTATATATATTTACCTGTATATTTAAACATCACCTGTATTAGAAGGTATCGATATATCCAACACAGTTAATGAACTTGATAAAATGAATCACGTTCTATGTAGATAACTATCATCGACTGACTCTCTTCAGATAATAACTAATCTTTGATCTGATATCTATCGCCATATATATCCCACTATTCGCCATCTCAGTAATATATTGTTTTATCATTTCATTAAGTACAACAAGCCCACGGTGGCTCAGTGTGTAGGATGTTGGTTTTCGAACTTTGGAGTCCCGAGTTCGATCCCGGAGTTGGCCGTGAAGGTTCAACGGGGTTTTCCGCCCCCCCCCCCGTCAGTGGTGCAGGTCAGAGGGACTGGCAAGAGACAATGCATAGTTGTTCGAATAGGACGATAAAAACCAGGTCCCATAAACCCTTGACATTTGGAATTTGAAATAAGACTAGGCCGTAGCGCTGCTATCCGGGTCAAACT